CTTTCAATCTTCTATTCCAATGTTTTTTGGTTGATGATGATTTTTTTGCTGCTATACACCCATTCAAGTCATTTATTTTATAATACTCTGTATTATACCAACTCAAACCTTACTGTTAAGACAGCATTCACTTCTCACTTGTTTGGATGTTAGTTTTGAGATTGCCTACAGAAACTCTCAAAATCTCTCTTTCATTTCTCTTGCCTAATTTTGTGGTCTTCCAGTTTACTTTGCATTTAAAACACTTCCAGTAGTAGAAAATGTTTTTTGGATTGTTTGAACACTGTTCCTGGAAATTTCCATCCACCTGGCTATTTCTAATTGAATTATCTTCTTCTTCAAAGTCACACAGTTCATCTTTGTTTTAGCAGATGTTTTAGCCATGATTTTAGTGTAAAAAAAGCAACCTAATATTCAACTACAATGACTCAACAAGTCACCTTACACTCATGTTATTAAGATGGAACAATTCCTACTTGGAAATTTGCATATTATCATTTATCATCTCAAATCTTTCAGTGGCCTTTTTTCAGTTACAATCTGCTTAAAGTGGTGTATCTTCTGTTACAGGGCACCTATGAAAATGCTAAAAATTTATTTCCTATCCACAAGGTCCACAGACACTACTGATAAAAGCATACAGCTAAGCAATCTTGACTTCTTAATAAAATAAAGGAGTATAATCATTTTATGAAGTTGGTCTAAAAGTTTTGCACACCAGTGTATATCTTTTTTTTTTTACTAAGCACAATAAAAGAACAGCAACAATAAAAAATAAGAGAATAGAATAAATATAACAATAAATGTTATGTGACAAGATTTTTTTCTTACTGTAGATATTAGCAACCTCAGCATACAATTTTGCCACACCTATATATATATATATATATATATATATATATATATATATATATATATATATATATATATATGTATGTGTGTGTGTGTAATAATGTGATAAAATTAATTGGTAATCTGTACGGATAATTCCAGGGAGGATATTGCTTTGTCAGACCTTGCAGTTTCAAAACAATGTTTTGTAATATCTCAGGAAATATAAAATGTTACCATGGCTTTCTGGAGTCTTAGATTTGTTAAATAATTAAATATATATATATGTGTGTGTGTGTGTGTGTGTGTGTGTGTAGGGGTGTGTATATATGTATGTGTGTAGGGGTGTATATATGTATGTATTTTCAAGTCCTTGGTAAATATACATGAAACAAAGAATATATAGGTTTGAAAATTTCTAGGATACTATGCAAATCAAAGTGCTAGTTTTCTTTTTACTGTGAAGAAAGAGAATTAATACAATGTCAAATACTTTTTAACCATAATATATAAAATGAAACAAATATTAGTTGAAAAGTATAAGCATCATTAAAAGTTTGTTCGTCATTTGGAAAATTTTTATAGTTCATATTAAATTTCATTTCCTTTTCAAAATACAAATATGAATTATCCTGTAAAAAAATATTTCCAGTAAAAAAACAAAAAAAACAAAACCAACATAATGGTGAGTCTAGTTTGTCATTGTGTAAGTGTAATAAAATTTATTGTGATTGGGTGACAGAAAAGGTGAAAGGACAGAATTGTGAAATGTGATATCAAATCCTAATTTTTTGTCATTTCTCATAAAAACTAAAATGTTAACAAATTTGGATTTCTTACGATTTATTACATTTTTAGTCACAGATATGTACTGACTAAAGTAGATCTGCAAGGAGGTTCTGAAAAGTTCTCATCCTAACAAAGAAGTCCTTGAATAATAAAACAAATTAAGAAAAATCTGATGTTTGGGGAAATGGTCTGGGCCAAGAACTTTTCAGCATCCCCTTGTACTGTTAAACTACAGAAAATTTTATACCACAAAGTAATTTTGAATCAGTTACAGTAATAAATAAATAAAATAAAATAATAAAGAGGAGAAAAAGGAGTATAAATGATTCCTTAGAATCATTATTGTCACAATAGCCTGCTGGAAATGTTCATGCTACTTAAGTCTTCATTTCCAACATAAAATTCTAAATTTCACAGAAAGACATTAAATAAAAGAGAAAGAATTCATGTAAATATTTTCATCTGCAACAGCAGCACTACTGGCATCTACAAAAGAGAAAGAATTGAAATAAATGGTAGAAGCAATTTTGCCATTGATTTTTCTAAAAGATTATGTTATAAGAAATGGAAATCCCCAGAGACTGAATGAAGAAATCCAGTCCATTTGAAATCTCTAAGAAGCAAGCAAATACTGGTGGAGGTGGAATATTTGTCACTAACATTTAGTCTATGTCAAGAAGATGGCTATTTCATGCAAAACATGGAGGGTGCTACTGATGGTCAGTTAGAAAACCAAGTAGAGTGAGAGAACAGAATACTTTTACCATAATCAAATAGATTTAGTGCCAGCAATTCCAGGAGGTTCCTAAAATTATTCAAATAATTTTCAATTAGATGAGTTAGACATAAAAGAATTCTTTCATAATGCAATATTCATACCATGATGGACATTTTTAAAGCTCCATTTCTTGAATGACAACTGTATTTTTCAAAATATATATTAAAAAAAAAATAATTTACAAATTTTTCAAAAGGTATAAAATTTCTTAATGCTAAAGATTATATATACTATATATTATTATTATGAACCAAACTGTTGAATAAAATATTTCATTTATAATTGTTTTATATTAGGAATCAATATTTAAAGATTTCAAAACTTAACATATCTTGGCTAAAAAACTGGATATATTTTTACATCCAAATGCTAAAAGGTAAAAATGTTAATCCTTCCATGAGAAAATATCTTACCATTCAATATCTTCAAAAACAGTTTGATTTTGGTAAAGAAATTTGTCCATGATAATGACTTGCAGTAATTTTTCATTTTTCTATTTATATCATTTACTGTTTTATCAGTTTTGTCTTTTCAACAGCATACTTTTCTTTTTCAAATGAAACCACATTTTTTTGGTGAGGGGTCTATTTAAAATCATATGCTGGCAAATAACAGAAAATAAATTAGAAAGCAAATCTCTTGTTGAATTTTAGTTGATTGTAAACTTATTTAAAAAAGGGTCCTTTTGAATGATTAACATCTCAATTATCGGTTTTAGACACAGCAATATTATTAATGTATATTGTTTACATGAAACAACAGCAAAAAAATATCTGCCAAAGGACTTTGATAAAAAAAAAATTAAGTGCAGCTGAATACAGGTAATCATTACAATCAATAAAATGGATAGTTTCTGCATCATATCCACATGTGAATACATAAAAAGGACCATTACATCAAATAGGTTAAAATAGAAGAACCACCAAAATATGTAAATCCAATTTCACATATTCTTCATTATCCATGGACACAGGTTGAATCATTGAAGCCCTAACAAAGAAATGGTTGACAATAACTGAAGAACCAGCTGATAAGAGTCATACATAATAAAATGCACAAGCAAAAAAATATCAAAAGTACTTGATTCACATGCACACTATATATATATATATATATATATATTATATTTTACCAGTTTGTGACTGGAAGGGGATAATTCTGAGGAGGATATAAATACAGGGAGAGCTCAATGTAGGCTACAGAGCATTGTAATGATAATAAGATGGAGACTTTAATTAGCCATTTCGTTTAAAATAAACAAAATAAAAAATTATAAACGAAATGGTTAATTAAAGTCTTTGTTTTCTTATTATCATATATATATATATATATATATATATATATATATATATATAGTTGAGTGGATATGAGTTTGTGATCGTTGGTTTCACACTCATGCAATCCTCAGACAAATTGATTTCTTTTTTAAAATAAGTTTTGTTTTATCATGTTGAGGGGAGGCGGTAATTCTCCTCTGTTTCTTTTTGGAATGATGCTCATACACACAGAGACATACATACATGGGGTGTAGGTATTGTGGTTTGCACAAATACATACATATACATATATAAATGATGTGGGACCAGGTGCAGACATGTATCCATATGTTCAAGCATGCATACATACGCAATTCAATTGTAATTTTATTTTGATGTTAGGACTGGGTGTAGCCAGTTTTTTTTCAACAAGGGGTGTGTTGGGGTGTGTCCTTGTCGTCTTTCAGGTCAGTTGACTATGTTGTCAGACAGAATAAGTCTTCTTCATACACACATGTATACTTGTACATATATTTTTTTTCCAGGGTAGTTTTCATCAAAAGCTTTAATTGCAGCTGGGTAGTAGGTGCCATAAAGTACTTCCAACAAAAACAAATGTTGGGAAATTTCTGTTGACCACTTGTTTTTGTGTATTTTTTTTCTTGTATTGATAAATTTCCAGAATTTATTTTTTTTGGTAAATACTTTGTTGTGGCACCAAGTGTAATGTCCTTCTGTTCATGGAGAAAAGCAGAAAGGATGTGAAGCATTATTCTATACACTTATGCAAAAGATAGCAAGAAATGGCAGCTAATGATGGAGGTAAATTCATTCAACTGATTGCCAGCTTCATAGCTCTATTTCCTGAAAATTTCTTGATCCACTTTTTTACTATTCCAAGCCTTTTCTTGTCAGCACAATGTATATTTGTCTTCTATGGAGAACATTACTTAACTTCATCTCTTTTCCTTATTATTGCATTAATGCTAATTGTCTATTTTTAATTCTTTTGATTTGTATTAAAATTAAAACTGTCTTATACATTACTTTTATATTCATATGAAACTTACAATGCAACATGATAACAAATGATATTTAAATGTGTTGAAACTGGAAGAAATTCATCATTATGCAACTTGAAAGAAAAAATGCTTCAATAAAAATATATTTTTAATAATACTCAATAAAATACACAGAATTAGACAAATATAAATTAACTTGTAAAATTAAAATGCGTAAAAGTGAAACAAAAAGATAATATGGAAGTAGAATCTCATGAGTAAAAAAAAAAAAAAAAAATTTTAAATATCAGTTGGACTCATATTCAAAGAACGTTATCAACATACCTTCAAAGTCAGCATCTCCAATACCAATGATGATGATTGACATAGGAAGTTTGGATGCCTAAACAAAGATAAAAATAAATACCAATAAATAACTAAATTCAGGTAAATAGAAAAATTCAGTGAAAAATATAACATTTAATCACCAATTTAGAGAGGTTGTCCATTTTTTGTGAGGATATCTTTCTATCACAGTGTCAATTAACTTGTAATGCCTATCAGGCTGAATGAATTTAGTTACAAGAAAAAGAAAGTGACATACAGAACCGATAGAAAACAACTATTTATTAAAACAACATGTTCTTTCATTTAGGCCACTGAGGTTTTCCTAACTATAGTTGGTTGGTCAGTTCTCATGTGGTCAACCATCAACTGGTTTGTTGGGATAGAGAACTATGGTGTTGGGTCAACAACTAAAGTTGGTCTTCAACCTTCCTTGACTTGACTGTATTCACAAGCAGAAATTTTTAAGCTGGAAATTCATCTCCTCTCAAAGCTTTTCAATGATAAGATTGTCTTGCAAGAGTGATTGAGGAAGGGAGTTACTGGTTTATCTATTGCTTCTAGATTCTGATTGCTTTTCCTAGAAAGCCAAAACTGAATGGCACATGTCGATTTCTTAGAGTGGCTGAAACTAGAGATAACTGATCTATGTAAATTCCAATCACTTATTTCCCATACTGGTCTTAAATTTGGTTTGGTCAATCCCCTATCCAGGGATTGCTATTCTGCCATTTCCAGGTTCCTTTCACTACCACCACCAGTGTGGCAGGTTTATGCTTATGATATTGTCAGGTAATTATCCTTCAGCTAATTAATACTTCTTATGAAAATTGTAATTTTCTAGTGTCAGCATTATCAACATTAAATAACATGCCTGTGATATCAGTTCAAATGCGCATTTTCTCTTTAGGTTAGGGGATCCAGTAAACATATTCATCTTTTGAACAAAGGGCCTCAACAAAACAAACAAATCCATCAAGTATTATCTCCTGACTCACTTCCAACTGGCTACAAATTATAGATTTCATTTGTTTCTAAAATCCACATTAATAATAATACTACAGCTGTGATACTCAGTATTATAAACAGATTAGATTTGAGATGAATATTTTTTCATGGATTATTCTGTTATAGTAGCACTAAGCAGGAGAACCTTTGGGGTGAAGATTTAGTTTTTGGAAGGTTAAGGAAGTTTCTCAATCCAAATAAAATCCACATTTCCAATGAACAAGTAAATTACAGCAAGTGTGCAAGTTGCTGATAGTCAGTCAAATCAATTTCTGTACTTTGTGACATATCTTCTGACTTGTATGAGTTACTGCCAGATTCACTCCTAATCCCTGAATGTTCATTTTAAGAAAAGCCCCCACAGATGTCTACAATTTTTCATTGTTAAGTGACAACTTGCAACCATAACCAGACATCTTGGAGATCCTGACCACCAGAAATAAAATGTTTGTAACCAAAAAGTGAAGATGACTCCAGCACTCCACTACAACTGTTGATATTGCAGGTAACTTTAGTATTTGAGAAATGACAAAAATATTACTTATGTTTGCTTTAATACCATAATCACAAAATTCCAAAAGCACTCAAAAGAAGAGATGTAGTGATTTGAAATGTTATGATATACACACAAACAGAAAGGAATGATAAAAAAGCCAATCACACAAATGAAATTCTAAAACAGCAACTTGTTATGTTTTAGTTTAATATATCTTTTCATGAAGAATATGAGCTTTATTATATAATTACTGAAAATTGGGACAAGTCCAGCACTGATGTCGGAGGGAATAAAAAAGCAATAATGCTAAATCTGTTGCTAAAAAAGAAACAGGAACAACAAAATCTAGTTGCACTTTTTCAGTTAGTAAATGCAGTCGCTCACTCTTTTGCAGATGCAGAATCTTTAATAGAGATTTGCTTTCTAACCTACATAAGTACAAATTACAAGGTTGAAACAATTATAATATGAAAAGCACTTACATTCACAATAGCCTCCATAGTCTGCGGCATGTCTGTTATAATTCCATCTGTTAGTATTAGCAAGATAAAGTAATCATTCCCATCTTGTTGTAAAGCTGCAAACCTTAAAACAAAAAAAGTAATTGATAGAAGACAAGAAAAAATATTTGAGCTTTTCCACAGATTGTTTCATTTTTTAAACCTAAAATAAGGTCACTATGATACTAAACTCTGTCACAGAAAAGTTTCAAGTTGGCAAAATCTAAAGATAAAAGTGTGGAGCAATAGCATAGTGACTGCAAGTTTTGTTTAAAAGATGACTGAAAATCTTCCAGTTATCTTTTTCTTGAAAGGAGGGTACATATCTGCAGTGAACACTGAGATAAGCATGGTAGTGATGCAGAAAGCTTTTTCTTTTTTTCTTTAAAAATACTTCTATGCAGTTTTGTCAACCAATAAAAATACTACACACAAATGAGATGACTAGAATCTCATATTGCCACACAAAAACAGTAACAGGTCAAGAGCAGCATATTTTACTGAAAAATATTTTTTCATTGTGTGTGTGCACACACATCCTTTTCAAGAAATCTACAACACACAAAATTGTCATTTTGATAAAGTGAGTTCTTGGAATGTAAGCAACTTTCTAACAGGCTTCATATTTCTGTTGTCCATCACTCCTTGAAGATGCAAAACAATAGAGCATCAAGATATCACCTGGACAACAGATAAACCAATCTTGTTACAGAAAAAAAAAAAAGAATTTCACATTGCTTGGTTCATAAAAAGAATCAGTCTTTTAAATATCTGAAATTCTATATCTGGCTAGTCCAGTAGGAAAACCACTGCTACTATTTTTGCAGTTGTTTTCAGTTATTTTTATAAATTGTTGTACTTAAAAGAAATAAATCTAAAATAGAAAAACTCAAAAAGTCTATTTTTCTCTTTCCAAGAAATTTGATGAATAATTCTTTAAAAATAAAAAGAACATTTTTTCATGAACTCGGCCAACATTATTGAATTTGAATTCCACCTCTTAGAGAGGTTTCATTTTCTTTCATGAGAAACTTAGTTTTTCTCTAAAGAAATAACTTTTCCTTCAATTTTAGTATATACAGTGCAATCAAGATATAGACATCTTGATTACTAAAAGACAGAAGATATGACTTTTGCAACAAAAATGTTTTGACCTCATCTTATAGTTATTTTTCATCTAACATGTTTGAAAATTCAAGGAACTGGCACTGAAAGTAAAGTCATGCCTGATGAACTTAGAGACATAAAAATATAATGCTTCAAGTGTACCATTAAAAAAAATAGAAAAGAAATTGTAACTCTATTGGATTACTTTTATATTTCAGCATAGAAATGAATAAGAAATATTCAAAGTATTAAAAGTGGTTTAAATTGTACTCAAATTTAGCTAATAAACAAAATAGAAATAAACATCAAAATATCATTAAATTTTCTTTTCCCTTGACTTCTTTCCTTGCTGTTTTCCTTCTATTCGAATGAGTTACTTCCCTTATATTGCTCTTATAATGAGAACAATCAAAATCACAACTCAATGTTAGTGGAAAATATAATTTTTTAATTTTTTTTATTTTTTGTAAAAAAGAAAAAGAAAAATAGCAACAAAGTTGTGCTTCCTTTTATACTATTACTCTGCAATTCACATGATTTTTGAGGGGAAAAATTTCCTTCTTAACAACCCTACTATTGTTTGAATCTCAGTAATCTTGTTAATGTTGCTAAGATTACATTATTTTTCAGTAATTTAAGAACAATTGTATATTTATAGCAAATGAACTTTCACTCTTACTACAAGTATTTCATTCTTGTGTCCTAGAAATTTCATAAGTTTACAAGCTGTCATCCACTAGAAGTTTGACACAACACAATCTACCAAAAATGTCTGCCTTTACACCAGACCTAAACCTAGACTATTGATAGAAACTTCAAACTTTACCAGATGTTTCATTCTTAAATAAACCACATTTAACTTAACCAAAGTTCATTAAAATTTATTGATTTTTCAATTTTTTCTAAACTATTAATATTTTTACTTAATAGTAAAATAGAATATGAAATATATCAATTGTATTTTTCACATCTACATTTTCTTTATTTTATACACATCAATATTATTTAAATTTCTTAAAAATATATAAAATTTTAAAGTAAATTTGGTAAATTAATTTCAAAGAGAAAATATTTACTTAGCAACATGATTGATGCATGGTGAAAAGTTGGTTGGTCCATAAAGTTGTACTGAATGAAGAGTTTTGTGATATGCATCTATAACTCCTTGAATACCATGGCAATACGGATTTTCTGGGTTACCATTCTGTTTAAGAAGCAAAAATCAAGTAGACAACATAAGCATCTCTATAATATTCAACAAAGATTATTCTATGAAAATTCATTTAAAAACAAATTTCAGGAAACAAGTAACTAATTGTGTGAAGAAAAAAACCATGAAGATATAAAATAGGGAATATAGACTTGTATATTCAAAGAATTTAAATTTTCAATAAGTAAAACTGTATTAAAACTGTAACTTTATACGATAATGTTACCTTCATAGATTCCCTGTAGAGCATCAGACTACAGCCATACCACATCACGATAATGTTAATTTTATAAAATTCATTTTGAAAATTACATATAAGTTTTTAAAAAAAATATTTAAAATTTTCATAAGGTGCAACATTTGCTATTTGTATACAGTTTCTTAAAAAAAAAAAAAAATAAAATAAAAAAATAATATTAAAAGAAAATTTTCTCTTAGTTAACATACCAAGGCAAATTCATGGGAAACAATACCATTTGGAGGGAGACGAGCACCAAATCCAAGAGCTGGAAATAGTTTATCCCTGCAACAATCAAAGTGTTCAGAAAATAAGCTTAAAACTAATTTGCAGTTTTCTTTTTTCTTTTTATTACTGCATCAGAAAGTAAAAGTTTCATATTTAAAATTCAGCATTATCATAAATAAGCTAAGTAAACTAAACTATTTTTAAAGTGGATTTTTAATTTTTATTAGATGAAATATTTTTTAAAAATGCAAAAGAATATTTCAAGAGTTTTTTTTAAATATATGACATAAAAAGCTTAGTTAAATTAAACATTATAATGTGAGACACCAAATTTCATTAATTTTGACAATCACTACTTCAGAAACAAAGTTAAGGATGTGATCATAATAAAAACAAGTTGTAGAGAATATATTCCTTTTGCCATATATATTGACCATAAACTTTGAAGATAATTCAAAATTGATTATTTACTTTCCATTTTTTTAAATCTTTTTATTTATCTCTTTTAATTAATTCTCTATTATTTACACTATTTATAATTGGACTATTGTCCTCATCTTTGTTGTTGTTATCACATCTTGGCCATTGTGTCCTCCAGCCTTCTTCAGGTGCATTTCAATCTGGATAACTTAAGGGAATTTTGAACTGAACCTTTTACTTCATCTATGGTAGCAGACTGCTTATGTCTAGGGATATAATTTAGTTCTTATTTTTATTCAGTATTTCATTTACTGCTCACCCATTTCCACTGAGTGCAAGGACACACTTTCCAACCCAGGGATTGAATTCAACAGTACTAAATAAAAATATTAACTAGACAATATCCATAGACATGAGCAGTGGAACAAGAACAGTTTACCTCCATATGGTTCAATTCAGAATTCCCTGCAGGTTACTCAAATTGATAAGGTATGTTGGAGAGCCCAACAGTCAAACCTGTGATAACAAGAACAAAGATAAGGACAATAGTCCGATTATAAATAGTGTATATTCAGACAGAAATTAATTTTCTATTGTTACTGCATTTTGAATATATGGTTCAAGATAGAACTGCTTTAGCTCAAATCTCGAGATATAAAATCCTGCTACATGGAACATACATAAACAATTTCATTATGTGTGAAATTAGAAACAAAGACAACAAATGTAAACTCTTTATATAATACAGAAGTTTGAGTTTACATGTTTAACGTACGTGTCATAATCTTGAATAATATTTCCAACTGCATGAAGAGATGTTGCATATGGGTTGAGATTATAGGGGCTAATATAGTGAAGTGAACTGGGACTGGTTGGATTACCATTGGAGGCAGTGAAATCAATTGCAAATGTACAATGTATCTGTGTTCTGAAAAGGAAAACTGAAAGAGTTTTAACCTCAGAAAAAATTCAATATTTTTACAACAAACAGATGCTAATAATGATTAATTCACTTAAAATTTGAAACTAATCTCTAGATTATATAGGCTGAATCAAAAATACTTTTACAAACTTTGTATGTGTGTGTGTGGAGGGGAGAGAGAGAGAGGTGGTTTTCCTGACACTAAAACAAGGTAAAATGTCCATATAAAGATATGTCCAAAAGGCCATCATTGTACCTCACCACACCAACTCATAAACATTCAACATGTCATCTACTTGCACACACGCATGTACCAGTAGGATCATTGACTGGCAGACCATTTGAAATACTCCCACACGGTGTCAAATGGTTTTGCAGACTCCCATGACATGTTGATGAAGTGTCTCTGCATTATTAATGTCTGCCGCATAAACCAATTGTTTTAGGTGGACCCATAGATAAAAATCCAAAGTTAGAGATCAGGGGAACATGCAGGCCATGGAGCCGGACCTCCCCTACCTATCCTTCTTTCAGCCAGGGCATTGCAACAAATGTGACTAAAATGTGCTGTAGCCTCATCATGCATGAACAACATGCATCTTTGTATTAGCAGGTCTGGAAGTGTGTTTGAAATAAAGTCCCTGTAGACAGACATGCTAGAACATATGAATCTAACAGACAGTCACCTACAATTCCAGTCCACGCATTAATCATAAACTGATACTGGTGTCAAAGACTGGAAATGCAATCTGATACAACTGTGCAACCTTGCTTCCATTAACATTTGTGTGGCTGTATGTAAAAATCATATCTGCCTGCTTACAATATGAATATCCTACCATTGTTAAATGGAACACTTCTCAGTTAACTCACTACTACACACGTTAAACATTGAAGACAGACTAGCCACAAATGTACACGAATGATAAATGTAATCTAGTCTACATGGTAACAAAGCGCCATCACACCATAAACTTTCTTTAAACTTAATAAATCAAAAACGAAGGATTTGCAGACATATGTTTATATGGACTTTTGTCCTTGTTTTGGTGTGAAGAACCTGACCCCAAAGTTTGTAAAAGTATTTTTGATACCCCCTGTATAAGTGTTGAGATGTTGTGAGTTTCCCGCGTGTCGGTGTATGAATCAAGACAAACACAGTTGTAGAGGAAAATACTGGTATATTCATAAAAGCAATTAACAATAGAGTGATTAGTAGAACGAAGGTTGGTTAGTAATAAAACAATATCCAAAGTCTATAGTCCAACGGTATGTACCGGGTAAGCTTATCTGGACTGCTCACGCTGACTCTCTCTCTGACGCTCTGTCACTCTCTCTCCAGAGCTGACTTATATAAGAGGGACCAGTCCATTACTAGTTAGAAGGTGGGTGCGCCCCAACAATAAGTAATTTTTTTTTGAAGATACACACTAATTTCAGACCTGCACAATACTTCAGCCCAACACCAGTTGTTCTTCAACAATGTTTTACACCAAAGACTTGACAAGAAAATGTGTTTAATTTAGTTGGCATTTCAAGAGAAAATATTTTTCTTGTAAACAACTGTTTTGCATTATTTATTCTTCCTTATCTTTAATATGGGTGTCTAAGGTGGCACAATGGTTATAAACAGAAAAAATGAAGTAAAGATACCTTGACAAAAATTGTTTTGTCTCTCACATACCATAAAAAATTGATACCCACTGTCAATCTTAACAAACAGCATCATCCTTCCTTACATATATAAAATATTTTTAACAATTTCTGTCAAACATTGTCTTGTCTGATTCTAAGACAATTGCATGGATTTTACATAAAAGTCAAAAATAGTAACATTATTTACATTTAGAACAATAAATAAAATATTTAGCTGTCAATAAATTACTGAACCACAAATGGAGATACTGTTAGGCAGTTGTTATTTTGAAATAAATGAGTATCTTCAAAATGTTTGGGCCAAAGGCAGAAGGTTCTTTGATAGCAAAGTAACATCACAGAAAATGAAATGTTGCTCATTTCTTTATAATTCTTTTTGTCAAATTATCAAAACTTCTAAGTTACATCTCTTATTTAACCTTTTTTTTTTTTAAATTTTATGCGTTTCCCCATTTTGTGAAAATAATTTTATTTTTAAGTCTTTGATGATGCATACACACACTTGTTTATAAAGATTTATATTTTAAGATCAAATGTCACCAACCAACAATAGAATTCAAAATTGTGTTTTGTTTGTTTAAAAAAAAAAACCAAAAAAAAAAACCAATACTATTTATTAAAAACCAGTAACATTTAGAAAAAAACTGAAAGATTAACTACTTACCCTCCACGAATATAATCCAAAAATGTAAAAACTTTGTCAACGGAACAACTTAATAATTCTATCTGCAAATAACAGTAATAAGTAATATTGAATATGAGAGGAAGAATGAATGGTTTCTTTATTAAAAAAAGATTTTTAACATTAATCAATGGCTACATAACTGAAATTTTCATCTCCAATAAATGTGCATATAATAGTTTTTAAGTTGTCTCCCATTTGGCATTTGCTTTAATTATTTTTAATATAAATTTGGAATTTAAATACAAACATTTTAAAAGGATTACTCAAAATCTGACCCACTCTACAAAGAAAAATTAATTTAAAATATTCAACTTACTGTTCCTGAATTTCGATATTTTTTCTTCTTGGCTTTTTTCTTTGGGTTGATGCACTTTAAAAAAGCAAATAAGAAATATTTACAATGTAAGTCAAATTTTATTTAATTACTTTCAAAAAGAAAAAAATAACCAATAAGTAAAAAAGTTTTCATAATGAAAGAGATTTGCTTGAATCTGAATTAAAATGTGGATTTTTAGAGAGAAAAGATAAAACTGGACTTTGTTCTTATTACATATCAACTAATTCAGGATTAAATTAAAAATTTTTTAGGAAAAACTAATATTAATTCACTTTGGTGTTGCCAATTTACAAATCTATCATAATTGCAATGAGATGATTCAAAACAGACAGACACATGTTAGTAATTTATAGAAATGCAACTCCAATTGGAAGTCATTATTTTTGTTATTAACAAATTTAATAGTTCCTTATAGTATGAGCTGCCTTACCTCATAAACATTTGAAATGTCTCGGCCTTTTGAGAGCTCTCTAAGTGTTGTTTGAAAAACACCAATCAAATCATGCCTAAAATGAATAGACCCGAAAACAGAAATAAATATAACAAAAGTAATTTATTTTTTTAAAAGCTTCAAATTAAGAATAATTAAGATACATTTTGTGAATGCTTGCAAGAGTATTACATTGCATGCCAAATTATTATCGAGATAACTTTTTTTCTAATATTTCAAAAACTGTCCAATCAATTCACACAAAATTTTCACACAATGTTGGCAACACTGACTTGCGCAATCACTGAAATTTTTGTACTGATCTGTGCAATGTAAACAAACTGGCGCCATATTTGTTATCAGCATGGTGATTTGAGCGTGTCAAATTATTAGAAAAGTTATCTCGATAATAATTTGGCACGCAGTGTATATTTAAAGCTGGCTGCAGGCGACGCACTTTCTCCATAAATCAAAATCTCATGGAATTGAACAAAACAATCTGAATAGAAATTTCAGAGAAGGAGAGGAAAAAATTAAAAAAAAACAAAAAACGAATACTCTTTCCAAAATTGGTACAAGCAATTGCTGAAATCAACCATCTCTCATGTTTAAAATTGCCAGGCCAGTACTCAAACCCAACAAGAGCAACATTCCAAAATACACAGCAATAGGAGGCTTGTGGCTATGAATTTAATTGATGGTTAAATAAAGACAGTCTACTAAGGGGTGAGCATGGTAGAACAATTCCTTAGGGCCCTCTAAGGAGAACAGTGTAAGTTAATCTAAATCTATGGTGGTGACTCTACAAAAAATCATGCACTTATAACATCAGCATCATCTGCTATGCATATGAAAGGTTGACTGGGGCAGGAAATGGCATGTAAACTTTAATGCCTCCAAAATGAAACTGCTCTCCTTTACTCACCACAGAGAACCCTCCCTGCCTCCAATCAGAATGGCTGATTCCCAACTCTTCAAGAGCGCCTCGTTATACCTGCTTGGTCTCATGCTGTCCACTGACATAAATACATTGAATCAATAGCTTCATCTACTGCAAGGAAAGCTGGTTCTCTGTGTTGTACCAGAAAGTTTTTCTTGTCTGAGTCCATCCTTCAAATCTATATATCAACTATCCATCCTTGCATGGAATATTGCTGTCATATATGATCTGGTGCTCCCACTGTACATCTTGAGGTCCTCAACAAAATCCAGAGACAAATATGAAGGATGATAGGTCCTGATGTGGCATCTAGTCTACAAGTGCTATCCCACAGACATGCTGTGGCCTCCCTCTGTCTCTTCCACAAGTATTTTCATGGCAACTGTTCAGGCGAACTACTTTCACTGGTTCATGGACTTCATGAATTTAAGCAAGCTACCAGGCTGGCATCTCGGTCCCACCCTTTCACTGTCAAGAATGCCTCTTTATTCTTGTTCTCAATCTTCTGTAACCCCTTGCGTGCTAGTGGCACTCCTGCCTTGCTTGGGGTGAATTGTTTAAAAAAAAAAAAAAAAAAAAAAAAAAAAAAGAACCCTAATTCATAGCAGTGATCTTACATAACCCACAAGGCTATGACAGTCATCTTTGGATACAGGCCAATATCAGTATTTTTTCCATTTCCAACAACATAGAAAGATACATTGTGTTCTCCTTTCTATTACTTTTCTTATACAAGCTGGGCAATGTGAATAAATCTAAGACATGCAACCCAATATGAGCAAGACAGAAATAGAAATCACTACAACACAATGGCGTCTATATGTATGAGTACATGGACATATGGGAGAGATTTCCAGACCTGATACCACCAGAGGAAGTTTCTTTTAGCAAGCTCAGTGATGAGCACATCAGTGAAGATGATTAAATCTACACCAGAAGGCTGATGGCTTATGAAAGAATACTATAATGTGTACCTGTGTACAAATGTCATCATTCTGGAAAAAAACAATAAAAAAAAATACAACTAAATTATCACCAAATTCCACTTTCTTGCCAGTCAGGTTTCTTCTTATCTCTTAAGGAAAGCACTAAACAAGGAAGATGTCAATGATTTACTTATTCCCACTATAAGCTATATAAGCACCGTTTCCTTCTTTCCAAATTTGCAGATGCAGTAAGCAAGAATGTATCACCTATTGAATACTGGAATTCACATGTAAGTGAATGAAGCAAAACAACTATCAACAATGGTCTCTTCTGGCATTGAATGTATTTTCTATTCATATGAACTTATTCATTCTAAACTAAGAAATTGTCTTGGTAAAAAAGAGCAGTAAAACAAGCAATGAATGCAAAAGCTGTTCATACTGAATAAATTGAGAGAAAATTTATCTCAAGAATGTTATTGCTGTAATAAGAACATTTTTATTCACTTGGTGATTAGAAATAAATATTTGGTCTAGTATGTCTTACACTATCTTTTCCTCATAAAATTACAAGTAAATAATAAATTGTAATTTAAATCAGTGACTAAAAAAATCTTTTGGTATATATCATATTTTAAATCAATGACTTAATTCAAACATCCCTGTCTGGTAGAAGACCATAAGCCTGTTGCTTCTGAAATTACCAATGAAATGACTAAGATTGCATCTTTTATTGATATCTAAAAAAACAGTTAATTCCATGTTGGCAAATTGTTTTAATGTATTGTCGTAATTAGCTCATAAGGGATTTTCTTCCTCTATAGACAAAATTAGATGGATCCTGGATCTTGAATCCATATGAACTTCTCCATATCTTCTGGAAAGTATTTTTGAAAGTCAAAGTCCAAAAAAACTACCATCATATTCCTGGTGCTTCCACATTTTCACAATGCTTATTTATGCTTAATAATTTCTTTCCCATTTGTATAAAAGATAAAAACTACAACCTAAAATAAAAATACATAATTTAAATAAACTTTTTAATTTACATTATTATCTTACTTTAAACCTATTATTTTTATTTGAGCACTTTAACGTAATAGCTTGATCACATCATTCATTTCATTCACTGAGGCCTTTGAGGATCTACAGTTACTTATATGTAATTACTATCAAGAATATTTACAGTTGTAGAATGTAAATCATGTCTATTGAGTGCCATCTAGTGTTGAAATGGTGGAGTTCAACACTAGATTGCTAGAATGATTTGCAATATACGATTTTGATGTTGCTCTCATTCATTGAGGTTGTGTATGAATTACTCTGCAGCATCCCTAGGAATAAGTTATGATGCCCACTTTAGGAGTCACCAGTTTAGGGGATAGTAAAATTTAAGTTAATAATAGTAATCAAATAATGAATTGTGATTTAATCCAAAAATAGAAGTTGTTTATGAAGTTAAAGGTGAAGATAAAATGTTCCACAATGTTGTTAAAGTAAACAGGTGAAAATTAAAAGGAAAATATAAAATATCATAATTGATGATGTGGAATATAAACTGACATCAACTGAATGCATCTGTCACTGTTCATACAAATGCTAATTGAACTTGAAATAGGTGCATTGTATTATTTTCTGATGTTAAAATTCAAGGCATGTCACCATTATTATTTACATGCAGACTGTTGTCCTCATATTCGTTGCTGTTATCACAATGTTTCAGCCATTGTGCACTCTGGCCTTCATTAGGTGGTTGTCGATCCAGGTAATCAACAGGGAATTTTTTCTGTCTTGTTTAGTACTGCTCACTTATTGCTTGCCTCATTTCTACTGAATCCAAGTACACACATCCCAAACAAGAGATTGAACTAGACATAGGCAGTAGAATGAGAACAATCTATCTCTGTAGATTAATTAATGAGTTCAGTTCGAAATTCCCTGTGGGTTACACAAATCAAAATACACCTGATGAAGGCCATAGAGTGTAATGGCTGAAATGTGATAACAACAAAAATGAGGATAATAATTGGCATGTAAACAATGATATCCCTTCATATCAGAAATTCAGACAGAAAAAAGGCGTCCACTGTACCCAGAATTGCTTGTTAAGCTGGCAGAGTACTCTGGAATTGCTACATTGCCAGACTAGTTGTATGACCTGCAACAAAGAAACTTCCTCAAACAAGAGCTTAAGAGGTTGTTGTTTCACACTGACAAACCAAAAGTTATGGAATAAATGTTGTAACTTTGCAAAGTGTATCAACTTGATGTGACATAAATTTCACAAGTGGTCAGAAAATCTCTGTATAGGTGTTGAGCCATGGGTTCTTCATAGCTGTCCACAACTCCCTGATAAAAACTGAGTGAAAGGATTAGATTTATTCAGAAATGGATAAGAAGACAGTTAAAAATGAAAAAAAAAAGAAAAAGAAAAAAAAGCTCAAAACAATTTGCTGATATGGATATCAAAAAGTGAAGAAGTGGAAGAGGAACAAAGAAAGATAGTAAATACCTGTCTTTTTAGCTGAGGATAATACTTGTGTGATTGAAGCAAACCTCTGAAATAATTGGCCTGTTCTCAGGCCCAGGCATAAAGACATGGTCAGGAGTTATTAACACCAACAAAGTATTTTGAAAAGAACTTACAGACCAAAATGGCTCCAGGTGAGGGATTTAATTTATCTAACCTGCAGTTTGTAGTGTTTCTTGGCATTGCAAGCAACAGGAAGTGGTGTGACATTCATAAATGATTGATACTGGTTTAGAGGTGACTGGAAAAGTGGGCTGAAGATACAGTGGGTTGAAAGACCTGCATTACTTCCAGCCATCATGTGAATAGACATCAAGCACAACTAAATCTGGTGGGTTAATTACCAAGTAGTAGGGAAAGGTATCAACATGTGTTCAGAGAGGTAGGAGAATAGTGATCCAGAACCAGTTTTAAGTATAGTACTAAATTGTGGGTGTTTGCAAATTAACAAAGAAAATTAAAAATGAAAACAACTAACCCGCCATCAGCATCCCAGTCATAACATTCCACTTTGATTGGCCTGAAAAAAAAACACAGAAGAAACAGGAAATTATGGTAGTTTCTGATAACAAAGCATTATGCTTTCATTTGCTGAATTATTCATCTATTTGATCATCAGTTTTGGCCGACTGAAAATTTAGTTTCTATTAAAATCTGCCATGTAAAAAAAAAAAGAAAAAGAGTAATGCAATCAACAAAAGAATTTTCTGCATTGTAACTTATTTACAATTGCATCAGAATTCAGTTGACTGGAATTGAGAAAAAAGTCCTGTGGATTAAGTGAAAAACAGGCAAACTGGAAAAGGAACATTAATTTTAATAAGATATTTGCTTTTTTAAGTGAACATTTTACATATGCAATCTGCTTTTGTAACACCTTGCAACAAGTAAATGCAAGTGTATCAGACAAACTGAAACTCTTAGCACTCATGTCTTCAGTATAACACAGAATATCACTTTGCTAACATGCACAAAATTTTCATTGTAAAAGAATTCTAATAATTTAGCACAAAATATATAATTTTTTTCTTCACATGGATGTATGACACTTTCTAATATACAAGGAATAATAATAATAATTCTGAGATTACAAACACGCGCATTATATATATATATATATATATATATAGTAAAGGTAAAATAAATTCATGGTCATATAATCCAAGTGGATCCTAGTAATATAAAAATATTAAAACTGATCCACAAAAGAGAGCTCAATGTATTTTATTTATACAGAGCAATATGTATCATATATCAAGTAAACATTTCCACCAAAAAAAAAAAAAGGAAAATAAAAAAGTTGACCCTTTAGCTTCCAATATCCAATATTAATTCAGACTTCCTTCTATGGACATGAACCTCATTCTACATTGAAAAGACAGACAAATACTTTCATCATCTGCTGAAATAGCCTATTCCTCATATGAAGTAAAAAGTTGTTTTTTTATTATCCATTTTTTATATATATATATATATATATATATATATATATATATATATATATATATATATATATATATGTATGTATGTATGTATGTATGTATATATTTATATATTAATGAATATTCATATTCTACACCGTTTGCACTTCTCGGAGTTTCATGTCAAACACAACCTCAGCAGGTGCTGAGTCTATAATGAATTAATTTTTTTTCTTAAATTAACGTCTTAAAGGAGAAAAATTAATGAATATATATATATTCATTAATTAATATACTTTATAGATCCGTTATACAACACTGAACACTGTTTCAATAATACCAGAACTATGTGCAATTCATATATTTATATATTTACACACACACACACACTATGAGAGAGGGTGCAATGGATAAATTGTCCTCTAAATTACACAATAATGAAAATAACAAATCTCATTTTAACAGAGCTTTTAAAGGTTGTCCTGATGTTTGCTTACAACGAGCAAAAGTCATAAGTGGTGACCCAGAGACGTTAGATAAAGAATTGGTCAGTATAAGTAGTACCCTACAACATAACTATCTTGGGTACATGGCAGCATCCCCCAAAAACTGGGATAGGCGGGTACAAGAGGAGGAGGACAACAACACTCAGAAAACAGTCTGCCTGCCTTATGTGAAGGGGTTATCAGAGAAAATACAAAGGATCTGGGGTCCATATAACATCAGGACAATCTTCAAAAGCTTGACGACACTTCGCAGATATCTCTCCCGAGTAAGACCCCCCACCATAGAGGAGAACATGACTAAAGACTGTGTGTGTGTACGCTATCCCGTGCAGCTGCGGAAAGGAATATAAAGGAGAGACAGGCCGCCCCCTCAAGGTAAGGCTTCAAGAACACCAGAAAGCTGTAACATGAGGGGAAGTAGAAAAATCAGGCGTGGCTGACCACATATGGAGAGAGAAGGGAGATCACCGTCCTCTGTGGGATCATGTTGAGATCATAGACAAGGAACACCATTGGAAAATTCGTAAACTTAAGGAATCAGCACATATGCTAGGCCACAAAAATCTCCTGAGCCGACCAAGCATAGAAATAAATACAATATGGGAACCAGTAATAAGGAGTGCCAGAGAAAAGCAATGATAACAACAAAGTTGCAATATGAGCTCAGGTAAAAACATGTAATGTTAACAGCAAGATTGCAATAGGAGCACTGGTAAAAAATGGTTGCTGAAGACATTAGGTTTTTAATATTATAATACCCAGAAATTCATACCCAGATGTCCCTAAGGACACATGGCACAGTGGATAAAGGTGTTGGTTCAATCCAGTGACAGGACCCCAAAGAGTGTGAGTTAAGGCAGTGGAGAACTTTCAGAGGGAAATTAGCAGGAGATAACTGATAACTGACATCCATCAAAAACATGGCAAAAACTAGAACAGTCCAGTGAGCAAAATAAAGGGTTCAGTTTGAAATTCCAACCACCTGAAGAAGGCCGGAGCGTACAACGGCCAAAACATTGTGATAAATATGGCAACAAAGATGAGGACATTAGTGTAAATAATGTACATAATACCTCATCTCAGAAATATAGACAGACTCTAAAGTAAATTTATTCAATAAAATTGCCATTGGCTTTAACCACAGATGACTTGGGAACTTCCTGCATGGTCTCCTTATTTAAGTTGGTGAATGCTGCCATAATCCGTGCTTTCAGTTAATCTCAGGTGTTACAAGGCATTTCAACTGTACCCCACACATAATAATCAAAGGGTTTACAGTCTGGGGAGATGTGGTTGCTGAAATTGTCTGACACTGGGTTCTCCTGCTTGTGAGGGATGGTGCAAAGTCCTGTTGCCAAACATAGGGTCTTCATCACCCACTACCTCCTCAAGGTACTTGATATAGGCCTCCTTGAATAAATTAGGGAGTTCTTTTCTTAGAACTGTAAAAATTTTAAAAAATACTTAGATTTTCAACTGGTTTAATTGTCCTTTTTTTCTGTAACACAGTAAAAAAATGAAAAGGTTTATGAACCAAGTCATTTAAATTGTTCACTGGAGCACGAATGTCAAGCAGTACAGCATGTTGTTTCCAAATTTATGGTGGAGTGATTTGTATCATGGTGCTCTTTTTCTCACAGATAGTGCTCAACTGACCCTACTATATTGTGCAGTTGACAAAATCAAAAACAACAATACGCATGTGCAAAATTAAAAATATAAAATGGTGACAATTTCCCACCACACTGTGTGTGTGTGTGTATATATATATATATATATATATATATATCTCAAAATAATTTGTTGAAAATCAGATATTTGATAATCAAACAAAATATCAACTTTTCAGACTGATAAAGAACTTCATGACATTTGAAAGCTTCAAAAAAAAATCTCAAAATATTTTCCTTTAAGACATTAATTTAAGACAAAAAAAACAACAAATTATTAGATAATGACAAAGCATCAATAATGGCTTTATGATAAATATTCTGAAAAATGTTTGATACATGTAATGATTAAACATGAGTAGAGAGCCTATTGTCAAACTAACTCAGTAGGCTGAGTAAAAATGAGTGCTCTCTGTATGCACAATTTGATTAAATGTTATCATCACAGAGCATACAGTTCAACAAGTTTTCAATATCACCTTGTTGATTAATCTTTTAATATATCCAATTATAATGACTTTTAACAATCTATAACCAAAAAATGCACATTTTTCTTTTTTACTTTTCATAATCAGTTAAGTTAACAGTTTATTTATAAAAAAGGAAAATTAATTAAGCTTTAAGAAAACCTAATTTTTAATGAGTACAGCACAATTTTAAGTTCAGTGTAATATATTCTCTAATATAGGAAATGCGTTTTTTTTTGGCTAATTTCTATGTTTTTACCTCATAATAAATGATATTTTTAAGAAATTCACCTACCTTTCATAGTCTCCATTACATAATAAGCGAATGTTGATAGTAAAAGTTCGCCAGGTGGGGTTTAAAGTGCGTTTTATTACTTCAGTCCGATGCACAACTGTAAAACTGAATAATATGGGAAAAGATTTTCTTTAAAGCAACTTCACAAATTTACCAAGTAGAAATGCAACAGTTATCAACACTAACAAATTTTTATTTTAGAGACATTAAAATTTTATTTTATGTTATTTACAAACTGTAAAAATTTTAAAAAATACTTAGATTTTCAACTGGTTTAATTGTCCTTTTTTTCTGTAACACAGTAAAAAAATGAAAAGGTTTATGAACCAAGTCATTTAAATTGTTCACATACACAGGAGTGTAACAAAAATGTCCACAATTCATATAAGTTTAAACATTACAGGTAACAGATCCTGATAATAATTTAAATAATGAAAAAGTTAAAATACAGTCATTAGATAAGTTTATGCAATGAATAAAAAAAAAAATCCCTCTTAAAAATATACATTATCATATCAAAGGAGTAATCCTATAAAATAATTAAAATACCTTCCATCTTCATTGCAGCGATAAAATGCTAGGAAGGGATCAGATTTTCCAAAAAAGTCTTTTTTATCCAATTGATGTGCACTAAATTGCATTGTAACCTCCTCCTGGGAATATATAAAACATTACTTTTGACATACACACAAACATTGTTTACAATAACAAAAGTGAGAAAATAATAATGTTAATTAATAAAAATGTTAAGATATCCCTGTTGCTATTTATAAATAGGTTACAAATATTGACTCAATGCATTTTAGATTACAAATTTAAAACATTTGAAGTGTAGTGACATTTCTATTGTTATTGCTAATCCCATTTTGAAAATGTTTTTAGATTTGGTAAATCTTATAAATGTTACTGATAATGATTCAATTGAAATTAACTTGTATTTTTCAAAATATATCACAAATTTATTGATGATTATGAAGCCGTTTATAAGAAATCAATCTGTATAAAAAAATTTCAATCAAAATATATCTGTACCAGAGATAGAGCAAATATTTTTCATTGATATATTTCCATAGAAATACAGATTATACTGGAATACTACTGGAAATTTCATCTTGTTTTCAAATAAATTTGTTAATATTTCATTGTTTGCAATTCTATACAATAGTATAAAAAAAAAAAAAAAAAAAAAAAAAATTCTATTCAACCAGTCTAGTAAATCTTTACAGTGCAAAGTTTTTCACTGAAGTTTTGTGAAGTGTATAGCAGACACAACACCTTTTCACCAGACAACCATGCATTGGAAACCCTAGCAGCAGCAGCAATTCTTTCACATGATGGGTTCAAGATAGGGTGCTAAACGGTGTTCTGAGAACAGGCACACATAGACTAAACAAGACACTTCACTCACTTTTTAACTCCCCAACAAAGTTCTACCATTTTTTTCTTTATAGAGATTATCATAAGAACATTCCTTGAATTTACACTTTCTTTCATATTCTCTACACAAAAAAAATTCCCAACAGATTTAAAAATTTCTATCTCATTTTCTTCCATTCTCTTTTTTTGTCTATTTTCTTAACCAATTCAATACTTTTATTTTTGTTCAATATGCAACATCTTCTCAGCTTCAAATGATGACCCCCCAAGCCTAACACAACAAGGGTAACTTTAATTCTGCCAAAAAAACTAATATTTTCTTTCCATTAATGACATCATGTTTCAAAATGAAAGAAAACTAAATTTTATGAGTGGCCACATAATAAATTAACTTTATTATAGTTTTAATGATTTTTGTTAGTATTTTAGAAGTTAAAGTGGCAAGAAAACCGACTAAAAATACTTTCAAACATCTGAATAAAATGTCTAAACAGTTAATGGAATTTAATATCAGTGACTAAAATAACAAGAGAAGAAATTAACCTAATTACAAACCTTCCATATATGAGTAAATGTACTTGTAACAAATAAAATATAAAATGTTACAGATTATCAAAAAAAAAAAAAAAAAACTGAATCAAAATATTTTTATTTTAAAAACAATTACATGATCAATTGCCATGCAGGATAGATCAAAATCATTTTATTTGATATTTTTATAGTTTTTAATTTTATACTCTACAGCCAGAAACAGTTTTGCTCAATAAAAACAAATGTAAGCAAGAAAATGCAAATCCCTGCAAAATCTCTAAATATTGACTCAAATTATTTTTTTTCACTTAAAGAACAGGGAAGATTATAAATTTTTCAAATCAAAACAAATTTATGAAAATAAGTAAAAACACTTTTCTACAGAGAAAAGGGCATATAAACAAGAAGATTCCATCTTATTTCAGGAAACTAGTCCTCAAAATTCTAAGATCATTGAATAAAAATTGCATTTCTTAATGATAGGTTATAGACAATTCGCAAGATGATATCTGAATATTAATGTCTACCAATAATACAATATTATAAGTTACTAATCTGATGTCTGCAACAAAGGGAATATCTGCTGAAGTTGAGACTTTCTGAGAATAAAAAGAAGCAAACTTAAAAAAAATAAAACAAAACTATGATAGATTATACAACAATGAGATTTGAATGTAATGCTAAAAGAACATTAAAAACCTTAATATGGAATGGAGGTCACTAGATTCAGTCAAGTAGGTCAGGTTGGAAGTGAGGAGAGGTTGCTTATGTCGTTACAATAGCAGATAAAGTATCCTATAAAAAGCGAACTTGCTGACCCACAATGGCTTAATGAATAAAGCCTTGTTTTATCCACTCAATTCAGATTAAGAAAATTACAAGATACAAAAGGAGACTAAAGTGTATACTCATTTAAATATTTAGAAAACAATGTGTCAAAGCAAAAGCCTTCTCCTCTGAAACAACATATTTGAAATTTCTAGCTTTGTAAATTTTTAATAAAAAGATATGAAAATAAAAATAAGGATTAAACTTAAATGCCTTTATCATAATAAAATTACACTCACCTTACATGATGATAATTCTTCAGCATTAACTATAAGAAAAAAAAAAGAAAAATTATTTTCTGTCATTTTGGATAGGAAATTTATTGCCTTTAATATAACCAATCTTTTAGGTTAAAAGACAAATTTATTTTTTATAAATAAAAATTCTTTAATAAAAATAAAAAACTTAACAGAGGAAAATATCAATATATAAAAACTGTCAGGTAACTTAAAATCCAAAAGAATGAAAGTACCATTGAAAAGAATGCTTGCAGATAACAAAAAAAAAAAACAAAAAAAACACGTTATTCAAATACTGCTTATTTACTGGCATATCTTTCAGAGATGATGTGATCCTTTTTATGAATGTACAAATGCTATCAATAAGATCAAATCAATCATTGCAAAAATAGTTTTATTGTTTAATATATCTTGGAATAAGTTTTTTTTAATTCTAACATAAATGAACAAATGGTAATATTAGCCATTTTCTTATAAGGAAATATTTGGCATTTATTGACCAAGCAGTCAGTAATTCTGTCAATTGAAATTTATAAAAATCTTTCTCTTAAAAGAATTTTATATATTATCCAATAGCTATTATTGCCCTTTCTTGTATTGATGGAGAGGTTTTACTTCCTGACCTTTTATTTGAAGTGGTGTGGAATGTTAACATTTTGATTATTTCCTCCCGAGTTACAAGTGATACCCAATTTAGCTGTTGAAAGTCCTCAAGTGATATTACTTCGGTTAGAGTATTAGAGTTCTTTTGTTTTTGTGTTTGTGATTCTGTAGCACCAATCCACAAGGTTCGAAGAAGTGTGGTCTTTACCAAGACCCACAGGCTTCACTTGCTCAAAGGCATTTTTAATCATTGATCTGAGAAAGCAGTCCTATACAGCTATATTTCTGAACAAGTTTGGCACCATGCATAACATCCTTATGAAAGTCGTGATCTGACAAGGCTATTTACGAACATGACTTAAGTTTTCAGATTAATGTTTTGATTTTGTAGCAATTTGCAGTGTTGGGCGGAGTGCAGCCTATTCTTTCTTCCATTTCCTTAACTCCTATACTAAGTTTGTTATAACAGAGCCACATACCAAGGTATTTGAACTGTTTAGTATTTAGTAAATCCATGCCCTGAATTTTTGTGATGGATTCAAGGTACATACTATCGCTACTTTCGTTCAAATTCCAGATCATAGTTTCTGTTTTGGAAAGGTTTATCTTAAGTCCTATTTCTTGGAATACTTGGTAGCAGATGTTGATTTTCTGTTCAAGATCATTCTTATCCCAACTATGAATACCAATGTCATCAGCCTAGCCTGTCATCATCAGTACATTTTCCTTGAGAGAGAAAGCAGGACAGTTCTTGTCTTAAAAGTACATGTTATAGCTAACTTAAGGAAAAATTGTAAACAGAAATTTTAGCCATAACAATGATAAACTCATATAAACATCATTTTTTTTTAAAATTTCAACAGAAAGAAGAGCAAATTTGATTCAAGGAGGAAAAACGAAATAGTTGGATAAATAAGAAAGTCTTATAATTCAATCGAAGAAAAAAAAAGTTCCAAAGTATGCTGGATTTTTATGACCACTTCCACCCTTCTATTTGAAACAATTTTCTGGCATCAAATAATTTTGCTGATAGGATCTTGTTGAGGAGTTATAGAAATGGAATAAAAAATTTTCAATGGTTTTAGGATCATATTATATCAACAAAAGCAAAAGATATAAAAGTTTCTTGCTGAAATTAAAGGATTTACCAAGTAAAAGCTTAATGTAAGATAAAATGTTTCTCTCTAGTGCTTTATGAATAACAAAATTCAAGTAAAAGAAAATTTTTAAAGAAAAGTAAAAAAAACAAAAAACAAAACAACTACACAATATTTTGATTGTATAAATGGACACAGATGTTCAATAATGGTCTTTAAAATAATTGGGGGGGGTTAAAAGAGTTTCTATCAATTGTGAAACTTGATCTTATTTGTAAAATGTTCAAAAGATGCATGAGTAAATTTCCTGGTTGCAATATTTCACAAAATTTCTTTGAGCGATTTGAAGATTTAAATTTCTATTTAACAAGTTATTTATCAGTTGCCTTGTGTCATAAAGATTAATTTTAGATATTTGATCTAACAAACTTTGAATTTAACAATATATAATGAAGAAAAAGCAGGAATTTATAGCCTTTTATGGCAAAATCTAAGAATATAAAATACAAGCAGTTGAGATCAATTTGAAGTTTTGATCAGATCTTTAAAAAGAAGTATTGAAACAATGGGAACCATATACAAATCTATATTAAAACATCTTTCAACAGCTTTTGCATTGACTTAGCAATGATTAAGAACTTTTCATTTTATGGGATAAAAAATGTGCAGGGCTACCTGGAATGTGGCTTGTATGCATTCACTGCCTAACAGTGCTCTCATCCACTGTTTGGTCTAGATAAATATTCAGCACATATTCATGAATGTTAATGAGTGCAATATTTTCCACATAGAAGAATTCAATGGCTTTCCTTTGTCTTACACAGACTTTTATACCATGCACAATTTTGACAGACTGCTGCACAGCTTCCATACATAACAATGAAAAAAAATGGTGCAAATTTGGTGTCAAGGGTCACACACTTAAAAAAATTGCTATATGAGGAAATAGTGCACAATATTGGAGAAAGAAAAAGATATAGGCAGTTGCACACTGCAAGTAATCTTCACACATTTCTCTGATTTATGCTATTGGAATATTTTTTTTTTCAACAAGCATATCTCCTTGATAAAGAACTTATTTATAAGGAATTCAGTATGAAATTTGTGATTCTTAATGAATCATTGTGACCTCTATTTTGAACTTTTTATCTTTATAAATGCACTCTTCATTTCTATATTGAGTTCAATCACCTGGACTTGTTAAAATAGCAAAGCGTTCAGAAATATATAAATACAGATCTAAAAATTATTTCCAAGTAGCTGAATGTAAAAGACTCACCAATAATAACACCACTGTCTCGTTTTGGACCACTGAAATAAAATGAAATTTAATCAATACAAATGTATGCACAATTAAGTAAATTGATGAAAAACTAAAAACCATAGAAATAGGTGAGGATGACAAAATGCTTTCAAAAACTGAAAGATAATAAACAAAGATTACAATAATATATTGATGGACCCTAAAATATTTTGATTTGCAAAAAGGGAGATAATTATGACAATCCAAATAAAATACTTGTACTGAAGTATAAGACATATAAAATATCTTTTATGGAAATGTTTGAGAGAGCAATGATATTTACTGCTCCATAATTGGGCAAGTTAACAGGTTAATATTGATGAAATCAGGATCATTATATAAAGATTATACAATGACAGATTTTTGAAAATTAATTTTTTCACAATACCAGATTTTATTATGCAACATGAATTTTTATTTATAAAAAATTAAAAAGATATTAGCCAAAGGAATGTATAGTTGATTAACACAATATTCCATATCTGAATATATTATTTTAAATGTTAATAGAGGCTCTTTGATAGTTTATAAATGTTGTTTTGCATATCTCTTTGCATAGTAGTAGTTGTAGTACAGTTCTCCATGTCCTGAATAGCAACTAGGTTTGCTAGGCATAGCCACCCCATCTTCACCAGTTGTTCTCTATTTATACTTGTCTATCTAATTTGCCCACGATACTACACCTCCCTGAATTGGAGGTTGTATACCCCTTGTTTTTCTTTTACTATTCCTGATTATTTTTGTATTATGTTGTCCTTCCTCTTGTCTTTCATGTTTTCTCTTTATTAGTGATCTCAGTCTCTCTTCATACTCGTCTGTCTTTTCATTCTCACTTTCTTCCATTTCCTGCTCTGTTCCATTTTGTAACATTCTGATTCTTTTTGTTCTTGATCTTTCATTTCTACATCATCCAGTTTGTTTCTGCTTCTGAATTGATCTGCATGTGCCAGTATATGTTGTCACTTTTTCTCAAGTATAGCCATGTTGTGTCCTTTTTGTATCAGGAAATTTGCTTCTTCTGGATACCATCATTCTCTATCATACTTTTTCTTTCGTTGCAAAGGACATAGATATGGGGGCTCTGATTTGTCTTCCCATTAATGCTGAAGGGCTCAGTTTTCTTCCTGCATGTAGAATGAATCTGTAACTGAGGAGCATTTTTGGTAGACACGCTTCTATGCTTCCATTAAGTAGTGAGAATGCTTTTAATCCCATTTTTACCGTTTGTACCATTCTTTCTGCAATGCCATTAGATTGTGGGTGACATAATGGTGTCTCGTATGGGATGCATCCAGTCTGTTTTAACCACGCACATAAGTTCTCATTGCAAAATTTGGCTGCATTGTCAGTGACTATTTTCTGTGGTATTCCATTCCTTGAGAATATAGTTCTTAGTACTTGCTTTATTGTGGTGGCTTTTCTTTTACTCTGACAACCTCTGGCCATCTTGAATATGAGTCCACTAATACTAAGAACAATCCCCTATCTTTGATATGTGCTTGATCCATGTGGACCCTAACCCATGGCTCTTCTTACTTGCTTGAAGTTTTTTTTTTTTTTTTTTTTTTTTTATTTCCACACATTTTGGGCATCCCTTAATGTATCCCTCTATATCTTCCAACCAGGCTTGTGACTTTAGTTTTCTTTGTGCTGCTGTTATGCCACAATACACATCATCATGTACACCTTTTAATATGTCCCTTCTCAGTATTTGTAGAGCTACTATTATATCCCCATTGCATATTATGCCATTTTCTATGGTTAGTTTGTACTTTGTTTTTCTTTAAAGTGTTGCTCTGCTGTCAAATAATTGCTCCATATATTATTTTTTATTCTCTCTACTATTCCGCTTAATATTGGGTCTTGCTTTGTTTCTATTTAAGTTTTGAGTCTATTTAAAGGAAGAATGTCCATTTTTACTTAGTGTATTATTTTATCTTCAGTATTTTCCTGTTTTTTTTTTTTTGTTTTATTCTTGAACTGTAATATTGATAAAGCATCTACGTGAGGGATAGTGTTCCCTTTAATGTATAGTATGTCAAAATAAAATGCCATGATTTTTTATTGCCCATCTCAAAATTCTTGATGTGACTTTTGGCAATTCTTTGGTTAAATATGAATTCTAATGGTTTGTGGTCAGATTTTAATCAGAATTTTTTCCTTTCAAAAAGTTTTGCAATTCTTCCATGCTGGTGCTTCTTTTTCAATATTCAAGTAGTTAGTTTCTGTTGACGTTAACATTCTTGATATGTACATGATTGGGTGTTCTTGTGATCACCTTTTCACTCGCATATGTGGTTAAAGTTACTTCTTTTTGTGGATCAAAAACTTTTATTATTGGTTTGTTCCTCAGTATTTTCTTTAGTGTTTCAAAAGTGAGTTTGCTTTTGTGTCCAGTTAAATTCATTGTTTTTTGGGGGTGTTTTGTATAATTTTGCAAATGACTATTATATCACTGTACCTTGGTATGTATTTACTATAAAAATTTATTAGTCCCAAAAAGGATTCTAATTCTTTTTTATTTGTCGGAGCAGCTATTTCTGTTATTTTCTTTGTTAGTCTCTTGTTGGATTATATGCCTTCTTTTGATATTTGATATCTTAAATATATCTTCTTACAGTCAAAATTACACTTGTCTTTGTTTAGTCATGCCTGCCTTTTTTTAATCTCACTAAAATTTGTTCTGTTTTATATATTTATTCTTCTTTAGTTCTTGCCCCTACTCATATATCATCCTGGTATATTATTATATTTTTTATTTTTCCTAATAAGACTCTTTCAATTGCTTTTTGAAAAGTATGGCTCGAAGTCTTTACCCCAAATGGTAGACGAGTCCATCTTAGAAAGCCTATAGAGGTGTTTATCATGGTGATTTCCTTGAATTTCTTGTCAATTTCTATTTGGTTGTATGCTGCCTTGAGATCAATTTTTGCAAATTTATGGCTCGCAGTTTTGATATTTGGCAAAGGAAAAGAGTCTGAACATATCTGGTGATTTACCCCTACCTTGTAAATCACCACATATTCTTAAATCTCCATCAGGTTTCTTTATTGTTACTATTGGTGATGCCCAATTGCTACCACCTTGAGTTACTCTTTCTAGTATGCCTTGTATCATTTTGTTTAATTTGGCTACTACTAAAAGGTAGGATATGAATTGGAACTTTTCTTGACTTTATATATTTCTGGTGATAATTTTCTTGTAATCAATGTTTGCTTTATAGCCTTTCAATAATCCTATTTCATTTTCTTCTGTTCCCATGGAATTGATTAGCTTTGCTGTATCTACTTTTAATACTTCAATTCCTAGTAATCCATGATCTTTTTCGCATTCTACAACTGTAATGGGAATTATTTCAAAATTTTTGTTGGTTTCAAAATTGCTTTGAAATGTACCAATTTTTAAAAAAAATTTAGGTTGTCCTAATTTTATTCAGAATTTTTTTTGTATCAATGTGACTTCACTGCCTGTATCAACTTGTTAAATATTTGGCCATTTATCCTTATTTTTTCTCTACATGTTTTTTGTGTATTAATTGTAAATATTTCAGTTTCTTCTTTGGAGGGGGTTTTGTACCATTTGTACTCTATTTTCTTTTCGTATATGTTCTGAAAATGATCATTTTTTTTTTTTTGCAATTTGAGCATATTTTTCCTAGAGCTGGACATTTGTACTTGTCTCTCTCATGATTTTTTTCCACAATATCTATATTTAATTATGGATTTGGCCATGCTTGTCCTGTATCTCTCAAATTCTTTAATCAACTCTAATTGTTGTAAAAACTCGATGCTAGCTTCCAAACTCATGCTACTACTTTGTAGACATTCTAGTATTTTTTGTTTGTGGTTTTGGTCTTGGAAGCCTTCAGTTATTCTGAGAAGGATTAATTCATCTTCTATAATCATTTCCCATGCTCCCAATTTTTCAAATTCACAATACTTGGCTTGTTCTTTCAATCTATGTAAGTATTGTACAATGTACTCATTGGGTGCTTGTCTTGTCTCTAAAAAGACTTTGTTCTTTTGGCGATGACCAATCTTTTCTTTAGTCATATGTTCTTTTTTATAATTTTAATAATTTCTTCAAATGTCATTTTTCCTAACACATTGTCAAAATTTTCTTCCCAGCTTTGCACCCAGCAGTAGCAAGAAATAAAACTTATCTCATTCTCTCCTCCATCGGCCTTTGTGTCTCACAATCTTTTCATTCTTGTAAATGAAGCAAAAGTTCTTATCCACGTTTCTATGTGTTCTGGGCTGTGCAGTGAATTTAACGATCCTATCAGCAACACCATTGTTATGTTTTGCATATCTCTCTGCATAGTAGTAGTAGTCGTAATACAGTTCTCCGTGTCCTGAACTGCAACAGTTTGCAAGGCATAGTCACCCTATGTTCGCCAGTTGTTCTCTATTTATACTTGTCTATCTAATTTGCATATGATACAATAAATTTCATCAATCCTTCACTGTTGATTTTATCTTTTCTACTGTTTTGATATTAACATTACATGCAGCAGTTTTTATTGCTTCCCAGAGAACTTCTTTGCTTGAATATTGATTTCTATTCTTAAATACAGCTTATTTAATTTAATGATGGATCACAAGTTTTATATTGAATTAATATCTAGAGAAACTAAGTTCATTCCATTAATCTGGTGTCTTTGAAACTATTTTGTCAAAGCAACCAAGTCAGCTTTGTAGATATGATTGTCTTTTATGAATATAGTCATTAGCTTAAAGCTTCTTGATTATGACATTTATCAGTCAAAAAATCCTTTGTCCAAGAACTTAGAATAATTCTCTATATTTATTTTGATAGCATTATCATTACATTTGAAGGGACCTATAATTTTACTGCTTCCAACACTATTTCAAAACATTACTTGCCTTCTTCACTGTTTATTGACCAATTATAGTAGATTTATGGTTACTACAATGAGTATATATAAGGCACACACTTTTACAAGGCCACAGAGATGTTATTGTTTTACCATCAGGTGCAAAATCTG